CACATATGTAAATCCATTCAGATCGGGATTTCATTTGAGATGGCTAACTGGTGGCCATTTTAGTTGTAAAGATGGCTGACTGGTGGTCTGTTTAGTTGTAAAGATTAGCCATCTGGTGGTAGCCATTCTTGTTGTAAAGGTGGCTGAGTGGTGGCCATTTTAGTTGTAAAGATGGTTTAGTGGTGGCCATTTTAGTTGCAAAAATGGCTGAGTAGTGGCCTTTTTTAGTTGTAAAGATGGCTGAATGGTGGTCATTTTAGTTGTAAAGATGGCTCAATGGTGGCCATTTTAGTTGTAAAGATGGTTAAGTAGTGGCCATTTTAGTCATAAAGATTGCTGAATGGTGGCCATTTTAGTTGTAAAGGTGGCTGAGTGGTGGCGATTTTAGTTGTAAAGATGGCTGAGTGGTGGCCATTTTAGTTATAAAGATGGCTGAGTGGTGGCCATTTTAGTTGTAAAGATGGCTGAGTACCCCGGTAGTGGCCATTTTAGTTGTACATGTCATGTCATGTATTTATATAAATGTATATAATAAATGCCTGGTTTTTAATAGATACATGAAGATTAATATGGATAGATGGCTGATGTGGATGTTACTGTTAGATCCTAATCTGAGAGGTGGTCCTTTACAAGATGACAATAGAATTCATTGTTTTAGTGCCTTAGAAGAAATACTTGATACCAAGGTTTGTAGAAAGTATTTCATACTTTCACCACTGAGGGCACTGTTACATTCTAAACTAATGGGTGTATAAACAGGTAACAAATAATGCAATGTTTTAGTGCCTTGGGAGAAATATTGGATTCCAAGGTTTGTAGAAAGTATCTTGTACATCTGCCTCTGAGGGCACTGTTTTAATCATAACCTTAGCAAGTGGTCTACAAGATAAAAATAGAAGTGTTTCATATCGATGAGAGAATCTATCGTATTTTTGTTCCGTCAATAAAAAAGATTAAATTATACTATGATATTTTCATGTTGCATCATTGTTTCACATAATTGGTACAAACATTATTTTCATTTTTTAGATAATTCATATCTACAGTATCCATGGCAACAAGCATACAGCCATACCTGTTTTAGATGAAGATGATGATTTATGCAAATTACAGCAAGAAATTGGCACTAATTGTGGAATTGTTGTTGACAGTCAGTTGTTACTATTGCCAAATGGTGATACGGCCGATTTGAACACAGTCATTGAAGGGTACTGGATGGACATGGTTAGTATGTAGAAGATAAATTATATGAAACTGGTTTTACAATAGTCTCTATGCTTGTTAAAATGGATGAATCCAGTTTTGCATGAATATGTACATTTACCAAGTTTCATTAAACTGGATGTAATCAGTTTTATAAATTTATGAAAGCTGGGTGAAACTAGTTTTAAAATGTTCTTAAAACTGGATAAAACCAGTTATGAAATGTTCATATAACTGGATAAAACTGGTTTTGAAATGTTCATAAACTAGATATAACTGGATGAAACCAGTTATAGCAATGTCCATAAAACTGGATGATTACAGTTTTAGGCAGTTCTTGACAATATAAGAACAATATAAATACATTATGATAATTATAATCGTTAATAATTGCCTCATCATATCAAATTACTATATTATTCTTTATTTCACAGAGTCCTGACAAATCACTGGTATTTGTATTCAACTCCAACCATGCACAAAGTGAAGACAGTGAAGCATTAGTGTCTGACTGGATAGATGGTATTATGCCTTCCATTGTGAAAGCAATAAAAGGTAGAACCTGACAATTGTAGCATGCTATTACATTATGCAAAAAAAAAAAAAAAAAAAAAAGTTTTGCTTTTCGTTTCCGACAAAATTAAAAGTTGATCTGGTCTTATTTATTTGTTTTTGTATTACCGTAAGATTATTCAATACCATAGCAACAAGATGTATGTTCTACATTAATTAAATCATTGTTTTGAATACATGCATTACAGTTTGATTGACATTGACAAAACATCCATCTCACCATATGTGGCACACTTTACCAGTATGCAAAATTGGAGAAAAAAATAGTTTCAAACTGACGTGCAATGAAAAGGAAAACTTTTTTTTTATTGCCTTATGTGCAATCATCACGTGGTTAAAACTTTATGCATGGTAGAATGATGAACAATGAATGAAAATCAACAACATTAGTTTGTAGTGGGTATCGTCAAGTCCCTGTGACACAGACAGATATCAAATATTTCATCATCGTTTTCAAATCAGTCGCTGTTGGACTGAATTATTCATCAATCAATAACATTATGTAATGCTTTGTGATGCGACACTGTCATCTTAATTATCATGGTATTGCATATATGTCAAGAGGTACATTACTTGGGGTTTGCAACGCGCATAGTACTGTATGGTGACATCATGTCAAGATCCCATTCAAGTCTCATCTCGTAGATAGCGAGACAGATGCTACTACCTTCTGACATGACATAGGCCGTTTATAATAAAACAATAAAACATGTATTACCACATTCATAGTGAAAGAATGTAATACATCGAAAATGTACAGAAAACATAGTTATCGTAATCCGTCATATCGTGAGCAGTTATTTTGATAAACCTGGACATCCCAGTATTCTAGTTACCTCGGGCATGCGCATTTGCATTTTACTGAGTTGGAACGCTTATGCGAGAGCGAGATTGTAACAGGATCTTGGTATCATGTCACCGTAGTTGCAAACCCCAAGTAATGTACCTCTGATACATGTACGTACATAAGACTTCACAAAAACATGTTTTTTATACCGAACTGATTTTTGTTGAAAGTGCTACATGCCTGATACACTTTTATTGCCAAGCTAGTAAAAAAAAAAAAAAAATGTGTTGTAGTTCAAGATTTTGTGGGCTAAGGTACGATATACATATGTGTATGACCTTGAGCCAAGTAAATTTTGTTTGAATGTACTGTATTGTGCATGTAACTACGTGTATGCCATGTGCAGGTCTGATGACAGTGTCTCTTTACTTTAGTATCAGCTGCTTTCTTGTAAATTTTTCATATTTTTAAAACCAAAATGACCTTTGTAACATTGAGTAAAATATTAGTGGTCATGCTATATATATTCAAATCCAGACAGCTGGATGACCACAAATTTATTTTTTAGTCATTTGCCTGGTATTATTTAAAATATATGCCATATCATTTTGTACCTCAACACTTTTTGCTTGATACTATATGAAGTGAAAAATATGGAAAAATTGGCTTATGACTCTTTTAATTAAGCTGTTGGATATAATGAAAACTATGGCATAGCTATGTTTGTAGTTTGCATTCCTGTATCATCATCATCCAGTCTGTCACAGACACACTGTATATAAAAATGGCATTATGGGAGCTCTCATCTAATGACATTTGCACCAATTAGAAAACACCTTGTTAAAACAAATTTTGTATTTTGGAACACATGTTATGATTGGTCAATCGCAACAAGGCTTGTTAAAAAAAAAAAATGTTCAATTTGTCAAAGATTTTGAGATGATTATGATACAAAGAAAATCTTTGGCCTCACTATAGAACTGGAAAGAACAGGAACGTGAAACTTAAATTTCCTTCCAAACTTTATATACTGGAAACTTGACACTTCATTCATTATTGCAATGCCAATCTTTGATCAAAAATGATTTAAAAGATAACAATTGATTGTTAAACTAGCTCATGAGACACAGCAGATATGTTTGATTTAACTAAAAAGTTTTTTATTTTTAATTCAATATTTGCCACAGTTCTGCATTCCTGCTCTTATCGAATTCTTACCTATACTTCATTCTCACTGAAATTGAACAATGTTCAACACTAAGGCCAAAAAAAAAAATTGTTTTGTTGCCCTCAGCGACCGACCGAAAAATATGAAATATCGGGTCGTGTTTGTTTGTTTTTTAATAGGCCCAAATATTAAAAACTTACCATTTTAAGCAGTAAAAAAGTGTTTCCTCTAAAAATTAACGACCCCCTGGTCATTGTTTGATCCCCAGAATAAATAGACTGAAAGAAACACTTGATTTTTGTGTTTAATATCTAGCTTGCATTTGATTGATTCTCATATACCTCGGCTATTTACAATACCCTTAGTTTTCACAAGTTTAAAAAGAAAAAAGAAAATTCGGACCGACCGACCCAATTTTTCAATTTTTTGACTTGAGGGAAACATAAGTTTTTTTTTTTGGCCTAATGTTAATTAAAAAGATAGATAGCTGCTACATGTATTATACTGATTTTTGATCCATTAACATTTGCTTCAGATGGACTGATCCAGTAATATATTTCTCAATTCTTCTCAGCATGTAGTCTTCGGCTGTTACCTAATGCATACTAACCATAATTATATAAATGAGCTAATTAACTGTTAATTATTATTATTGTATATTAATTAGGTGAAGTGCTACATATAAAGCCCCCACGGGGGTATGTTTTTTTATTAGATGAGGACACGCATGTCCCATACATGCAACTCAAGTATATTTACAGATCAGCTGTCTATTTCTGTCAGAAGTTGAACTTTCATTATGAACGAGTGACCCAGGGTTATGGTGCAATAATGTAAGTTTCAGATTCCACTACCCATCGCTGTTGACAACCATTAACGTGATTTTGAACTTTTATCTACCGTATTTGCTCTGTTAGTAGTACATACACTTGATGTTTCTATACTTTATACATTCAGTATACCAGTACAACAAATACAATTTTTTGTTTATATGTGGTCCTTTTGGAGATGCACTTTTAATACTGTAGAATACTTTATTTTCGCTTGGAATTTATTTTCGCTCTTTTCACAGAAGGGAAGATTCCGTGAAAATAAAATCCACCGAATATACTTTTTTTCCTATATTTCACATTAAACTCGTCAAAAAACAGTGAAATAAATTTCATATAAAACGACCAAAAAGCCTTTAATTCCAGCAAAAATAAAGTATTCAACAGTATGGTAAAAGTTTTACCGTATTACCGGTAGCTCAATTAGTAGTGCATAAACTTATGGGTACATAGATGGCAGAGGTGTTTCTATGGTCAAAATAAGTCGTATTTTAATCCAAATCACAAATGCAACAAATATGATTTTTGGTTTATATGTGCTTCAAATACAATGAATATGGTATATGTGCACTTCTATTAAAGATGTGATAGTAATAGAGCAAATACGGTATTTGAATTTTGATTAGGACAAGTATTTTGATGATAAGGGTATGCAACTGATGTGATATGTGATGGAAAACGGTTTTTGTAGCCATGTGACAATCGCAGTCACATGACAAATGTACACTAATGCAAACGAGTCAGTGTTTATCTCGGGCTATCTCTCTGTGTATTCACATAGCGTATATGACGCATTTTTTGTTTTTTGAATACATTAATTATTTAATCGAACCTGTGATGTCATTAGTGAGAATTCTTTTCGATTGACACATACATAAAACTTGCACAGTACATGGATTTCAAAACAAATCACCATACTTATGATAGTTATTAAAGTTGCCTACCCTTGTTTTGGAAATCTTTGATTAGTATTGTATTCTGAAAAGAGGCAGAATACTTTAATGGCAGTTGTGAAATTGATCGCCTGTTGGACATCTCCACAGATCGCTGTCATGAATAGAGAAAAATGGATTCAGTGTTTAAATCTAGTCGTCATAGTTACCAAAATACTAGCTGTATATTTGCAATATTTTACTATTTGTTTTTAATGCATCCAATATTGCATGTTAGTTTGTTCGATTATTGTTGCTAAGTAACCGTGTTTAGCGTTGTACTGCTTAGATCTGACCATGGAGTATTGAGGAATGCATGAAATCTCACTTATCAGGTCGGTAGATGTTAAAATTTGTGGCTTTCTATATGCATTTTTACATTCAAATTATGTAATAACTAAAATACTTGTCTTTGTATTAATTTGCTAATCCCCATTCGTACGTAGTCCAAAAATGAAACATTTCATTTTACCCTGTGTGCATCCATGTGTCTTTCCACACCTGTTTCATGGACATGGATTGGACAGGTCAACTTCTCACATATTCCGGTATATCACACATCTTGGGATACATGTGCATATTCATTTGTTTTGTGATCCAATTAAAGATTACCAAATGATCATCATTTTAGTGCTGAAAATTAATTAAAATTAGCATATCTGTCATTCTGAAACCAGATCTTGGTCTGGTTTGGATGGATTTCATGAAATGAACATAATAGAACCTAATACACTTTATCCAGTTTTGTAGATTGGATTCTAAATTGCTCACAGTGATCATGTTCAAACTTCACACATACATCATATCACACCCATGCACATGCATGCACATGATCTAATTGAAGATGGTCTATGACATCACTTTTAAAGCTAAGATTCAAATAAACCTTGACAAATTAAAGTTGTACATCAGTCAATTTCCAATTCAAAATGGCTGACTTGCTTCAGTTGTGGATGGTCTAGACATCAATTTTGACGTTTGAAAACCTTGAAAAATTGTACATCAAAAAGTTATACATCAGTCAATTTCTGATTCAAAATGGCTGACTTGCTTCAGTTGTGGATGGTCTAAGACATCAATTTTGACGTTTGAAAACCGTGAAAAATTGTACATCAAAAAGTTATACATCAGTCAATTTCTGATTCAAAATGGCTGACTTGATTGTTTCAGTTTTGTTTACTACCGTTATTGCACAACAGAGACTGTGTTGTCTTGGAAATCTTGTTTAACTAAAGTTTAATGCTATGCAAATTGTGTATTTGTTTAGTGACAATTCAGGCATGCCCAAGCCCCAACAATATACAATGTTAACAGATTTAAAATAAGTATAAGTCACTGACGTAACCAGAATTCTCATGCACATCCAACACACTGTCAAGCTATTCCATTTCAGACTGTCCAAGTTTGTGGAAAATGTTAAAATTGTTTACGCATTGAAGCCCTTAACTTTATGAAAATTAATAATATGTGACATAAATATATACTGATAATGACAGATTTGGACAAAGTACATCTAACTTAGTATTTTCTATATGTTTATTTAATATATTGCAGAAATCACTTGACAAAACTAAAATCCGATTTATCGCAGAAGAAACTAACTCTGCTTGCCACATATCACAAATATCTTGGGAAGCTGGAAGTCTTTAAAGACAGGTATTTTTTCTAAATTTTGTAAATGTTGAATTTCAATGGTAGAACGTTAGACTAATTTGCTACTGGTACAAATTATGTCTAGTGAGTATAATAATTAATAACTCTGCATTGTGCTCAATTATTTACCGATCTAATGACTTCAGTTTGGAGCAAGACCTACAAAGTTACCAAGAACAAAGTGCAAGTGGTATAGGTACGTTGAGACTACATGTACATGATTTATATTTGTGATTTTGTACTAGATTAATAGAGTCTGCAGCTTTAGTCATTGGTTGATATTGTTGATAATGTCTCAGAGGCAGATCTATAATTTTATTTTGGGTTAAGATAAAGAAAATATGAAAAACGGAAAGTGTTTACAAATCTTCAGATTTGAGCTTTGTATAAACCCAATTTCCCCTTCTTTTGGTTAAGGGCGAGTCTGCATGATACAGCTTCAGCCATTGGTTGATATAGTTAAGGGCATGTCTGAATGATACAACTTTCGCCATTGGTTGATCTAGTTAATACAAGATCATATCTGCACGATACAGCTCCAGCCATTGGTTGATATAGTTAAATACATGTCTGAATGATACAACTTTAGCCATTGGTTGATCTAGTGAATACAAGATCATATCTGCATGATACAGCTTCAGCCATTGGTTGATATAATTAAATATATGTCTGCATGATACAACTTTAGCCATTGGTTGATCTAGTCATGGAACTATAAACCCCAGGAAGAACAACCACTTCGTTTCCTTTGAACTATGATAGTTGCCGCGATGTCGAAAGTTTATTTTGACTGTTTATTTTGTCGCATTAAAAAATAAGCCGATTTACGCAAATGAACGTTTATCTCCGACTATCGGCCATTTTCGGAGTCAATCGGACGACTCCGGGAGATCACGTGACCGAGTTGTTCCGGTTATAGCATAAAAAACAATGGCGCCAAGACAAAAACACTGATAAATGATCGACATTCAACGGGAAAAAAAAACACATTGCCACTTCTGGCGATCGAAGGGAAACACGGAATTAGTCGGGATATCTCAACAACAAACAGCTCACCAAACCCCATGTTTCGCAAACTTTCGCAACCTTATTTTTTCGAGGGTTGAAAAAAACAAGAAGTAATCTAAAAACGACATTAAAAATTATGAAAACTCGCTAAAACTCCGACCCGTTGCATGATTTCCGGTACACTGAAGGTCACCCTGCAGACCGACTTGTTTGCGCATGCGTAGTGAACGAAATATTTTACTGCGCAGATATGAAAATTTTTTTTCAAGTTTTCCGTTTCCAGCAAAGCGGTTGAAACGGGCGTATCGGCGGCAACTAACATGGAGTATGACTAATGTCGTGGAAACAAAAGCGAAAGCACTGTAAGATAAACTAAGACAAATTTTTTTTTAGTCCTCTTAGTTTCGTTGTTCTTCCTGGGGTTTATAGTTCCATGATCTAGTTGATACAAGATCATATCTGCATGATACAGCTCCAGCCATTGGTTGATATAGTTAAATACATGTCTGAATGATACAACTTTAGCCATTGGTTGATCTAGTGAATACAAGATCATATCTGCATGATACAGCTTCAGCCATTGGTTGATATAGTTAAATACATGTCTGCATGATACAAATTTAGCCATTGGTTGATCTAGTTAAATACATGGCTGGATGATACAACTTTAGCCATTGGTTGATCCAGTTAATACAAGATCATATCTGCATGATACAGCTTCAGCCATTGGTTGATATAGTTAAACACATGTCTGAATGATACAACTTTAGCCATTGGTTGATCTAGTGAATACAAGATCATATCTGCATGATACAGCTTCAGCCATTGGTTGATATAGTTAAATACATGTCTGAATGATACAATTTTAGCCATTGGTTGATCTTGTGAATACAAGATCATATCTGCATGATACAGCTTCAGCCATTGGTTGATATAGTTAAATACATGTCTGCATGATACAACTTTAGCCATTGGTTGATATAGTTAAATACATGGCTGGATGATACAACTTTAGCCATTGGTTGATCTAGTGAATACAAGATCATATCTGCATGATACAGCTTCAGCCATTGGTTGATATAGTTAATTACATGTCTGAATGATACAACTTTAGCCATTGGTTGATCTAGTTGATACAAGATCATATTACATGTCTGAATGATACAACTTTAGCCATTGGTTGATCTAGCTGATACAAGATCATATCTGCATGATACAGCCATGGCTATTGGTTGATCTAGCTGATACAAGATCATGTCTGCATGATACAGCTTCAGCCATTGGTTGATCTAGCTGATACAAGATCATATCTGCATGATACGGCTTCAGCTATTGATTCGTCCACTCCTGCATTTTATGTCAGCATGATACACCATCTAGGATTGGGCAGCATGTGACATTGACTTTTTTATTCCTTGGTTTCTTCAGAATCAGAGAAAATCTACAATTCATGGTTGAAATCAAGAAAAGAATTTGATAGAATAGAAAAAGTTGGCCAAGTAAGTTTATAGTTAGTCATAAATCATTAGTATGGTAATGGTATAATATGTATGTTGATATGCAAATTAGCTCATTACCTATGCATGTATATACAAATTATATTTGTATGCTATCGCATTGTGTTTTGAAAAGGTAAATTAATCTTTTCGTCTGAGCAATGATGTACTGGTATTTCATGTGAGAAGCTTGAATCCTAAAACATGTTGGTCTATATTGATTTGTTACTGATGTGCACATCTTTTTGACAAAAATGTTTAATATTATTATAAATTATATTCAGTCTAAAGCATGTACATCCTTCTTTTCTTGTTCATAGTTTTATCAAGAATGAGTACAGTCCAATTAAAATCCATTGGTATAGGCTTTGTTTACTTTATTGATAGATTTTGATAAGCTGACAGAACCTATGTAAATTATGTAATTAATATGCACAGATTGAAACTAGAAACTAATCAGAGTTATGCATTATCCTAGAGATCTAGAATGTATGTATCAAATTTCATTGAAATCTGTTATGTAGTTCTTAAGATAAAAATATGCAAATTAGGTCATTAATATGCATATATTTCAACAAAAAACGAATCAAGTTTGTGCATTATAGCAGAACTACTAAGTACCACGTTTTGGAGATATCAGTGGAACAGACACACAGACATCAGTTGCGATATTTCAAGTGGAGTTGATCACATATATTCCTGAAACACAAAATAAAAGTCACCCCTGAATGTTGTGAAAGGTATTTTATATTCAAATCAATAGAATAGGTGCATAACATAATTCATTTTGTCTTCATTCTAAACTGAATGTGTTCTTTCTTTCTCTACCAGAACACCAATATAAGTGAGTTTATACATTCTACTGATGTACTCCAAGACAGACTACTGAAGGAAATTGACACACACCAAGTTGATGCATGTCACAAACAGATTCAACACTTGTGAGTATTGATTACAGTCCCCTGGTTGCTAGGTTACTGAGTGTTATTTTATATCAGTATTTTGTGAGATCGTTTCACAAGTTTACTAGAATTTCTTTGGTGTCACCACTGTTCTACGCTTGACTGACTGTCAAGTCATATAAGGTACTTCTTAGCTGATTTGTAAATAATATATTGCACCCCTTAGCTGACTGGAAAATAATATATGGTACCTCTTAGCTGACTAGCAAATAATTGGTGCTGTTTAGCTGATTTGCAAAAAAAATATAGGATACTCTTTAGCTGACTAGCAAATAATATATAGTACTCCTTAGCTGACTGGCAAATAATTGGTACTGTTTAGCTGATTTGCAAAATATATATTATACTCCTTAGCTGACAGGCAAACAATATATGGTACCCCTTAGCTGACTGGAAAATAATTGGTACTCTTTAGCTGATTTGCAAAAAATATAGGATTCTCTTTAGCTGACTGGTGATATGTTAATGCTGCTATTATGAAGTGATGACTGAATTTTAGTTAAACCTCAGTTAATTATATAAATGTATATTATTTTCAGGAAAACTGAAGCTTTGAAATTATTGCATGGTTTGCTTCAGATCCCTAAAGGTGAGTGACAACTCAGACTCTCACATCATTAGGTGACAACTTTAAATGACTTCTGCATCACCTGGAATTACTGAAACTTTCAACAAGTTTTATATCTTCTTTCATGGAAGTTCTTGCAAGTTGCCACAATTTCATGAAATTTTCAACGTATTTAGCAATTGGTTATTCATTCAATATTAACTGTATGTATAAATGAAAACAACTGATGTAGCTTCATTAATCTGTGAAAATATCATGGATATTTCTATTATTATTATGGTCTATGTGTTTCAAGACAAAATAAATATTTTTAATTTTAATGAAAAAAACTGGTTTTAAAGATTCAAGTGTACCACAAAACAAGCCTCATCGATAGTCCTCATTAGCTTCTCATTTGCATACAAAAATACCCAGAGAAGTTGATGATCAGTGCCCATAGCCACTAGTGCAAAAACAGGTGGTTTCTTATTCAGTTTTCTCATCGTTTGACTAAATTGACCCACATGTACTTCTCATTGAGGAAGATTGTACCGTAATGAACACAGAATATCAAAATTATCGGTATAGTGTCGAGTCAGATGCGACATCTGTCATTTTTTGTGTAGCAGGTTACTATGATTAATGGTCTTACGAGAAAATTATGCTGGAGCCCGTCTACATTAAAAAAAAATATTTTAATATTATAAGCATAGAATTATAATGATCAGTGACATAGAGAAATAATGACGTAATATACTGTATTCGTGGTTCATGAATCACAGCTACAAAAGACTAACTGCAAGCGAATGAACTAACATTGAGTTGAAATGGGTCATGGTGAGGACAAGTCGATGACTGCGTTTGATTTATTAAAAAAGATGAGAACAACGTATAACCCAGGTTATAAGAGTGTTGACTCCCAATCTGGGATGAATGTGGACAGACTCAATGGAAAGACTGAAAAGGTCACACATCTTGGTTTGAAATACAAAAACAAATTTATTTTATTGATATCTCGGCACAATTTCCTTGATTTTAATATTTGTTTTGATTAAGAATGTAATGTTTCTGTTAGGAACAGAAAAATGTATTGAAATGCCCGATTGTGTTCGTTTGTGATGCTGTCATACCAACAAAAGTACCAGGATGTGTCATAAATGTGACCTATTCACCAATCATTCACTTATGGAAGTGACTTTAGATGAATTGATAATTTCACTTTGTAGATGCTTATGTTCAACCAGGGAACGAGTGATTAAATGTCTCTCCGTCCGTTCTCTCTCCCACTTCCTATTAAAATTTTGAAACCATTTTTTGAGGAAATGCTAAATATTATCAAGAACATAAGCAGATTTTCATCATCACTTCAGCAATGACAACAAATTGTTTGTTTCTGATCAGTGTGCTCGTCAGGTTACATTGTGTTCATCATAGAATTTTTCAAGGCATTATTCCTAAATATTGTAAAATAGCAGCAACAGAAAAAAAAATGCGTTATGGTACTTTGTTTTAATTACTGACTTTATTATTTGTCATCACCAGATCAGCGTGACAAAGTTTTTAGTTGTAGTAAAATGTCTTCAGTTATAAATCGGAGTATGAAGGCATGGAAGAAATATTACAAATATATGGATGCCAGTATCAGGTAATAATAACAGTGCAACTAGGGGGTTCTAATATAAGGGAATGTTTGGATGCCAAACTTGACCATTGTCACTTTTCACAAAATAAACTTTTTATTTTTATTTATTTATAAGACCTTTAGAGAATTGGTAATAATCATTTGGCCCGGGCGAATAAATTGTATTCATAAAAATATTACATCAACATTTTAGCGGAAAATATTGTAGTGTTCAGAGGAATAAGAGCATGCGAAACATATTGTCAAAATGTTTTGTTCATTAATATTCAAGTAGAAGTTTATATATTGTGTAAGTCAGATTGGGAAAGATATAACATGGTGAGAACTAAATGTACTGTGAAACCATTTATTTTCACTGGCGTTTAATTTCACTATTTTGATGTTTTGAACTATTTCGCTGGGTTTGAAGTTCACAGACTGGGCAGAGAAGCAATGAGTTCTATTATTTCACACTTTCTTGTGAATTTAATTTTGTGAATTTTACTTATCAATGAAAATAATAAAATTAAAAACCAGTGAATAAGTAATGTATTTCCAGTATCTCTATGTTTATTGAATATATTCATATTTTTTTGTAGTGTTGTCTTAAAACTTGTCCGGAAAGTGTCTTACCTTGATGCAGAGCTGGAACTGGTCTTGCAGCAATTTGAGAAAGGGGGTCAAGACTTAATGAGATTGCATCAAAAAAGACAAAACGATGTTTGGACATTACTTAAGGTATTTATTAGAATTGTCAGATCTTCAACACCGCAGATAAATCAGAAGTTTATCTGATTCAAATTTATATAGTAGATGTTGTCTACATTCAAAAGAAGGTCATTTCAACATTTCAAAATATGAAGATTTTACTAATAATATTAAATTTATACATTTTTAAAAATATATGATATTTTTCTATTTTTAGCTTCAAAGCCAAGTTGTAGCAGCTGTGACAAATTTAAATCACAATTCAAACAATGACACAAAGTTATCAATAGTCAGAGTCTAAATTAGCCAAGGTCAGCTTATTGTTAATTGGGAAGGTAAGTTTAATAACAGTGTATCTAATCTATCGTGTTTGGTGAAAATGATCACAAGGCTATGCAACAATATGTGCAATACATGAGCAAAGACTCTTTCACGGAATTACAAATCAGGAATTACAACCCAAATAGTTACTAAATGATACAATGTGTAACCAAGTAGTTGCTAAATGATACATAATGTAACCAAGTAGTTACTAAATGATACCAAGTGTAACCAAGTAGTAACTGAATGATACCAAAGGTAACTTTATGATACCAAGTGTAATCAAGTAGTAACTGAACATGTAACCAAGTAGTAACTGAATGATACCAAGTGTAGTAACTGAATGATAGAACATGTGACCATGTAGTAACTGAATGATACCAAGTGTAACCAAGTAGTAACTGAACATGTAGCCAAGTAGTAACTGAATAATACCAAATATAACCAAGTAGTAACTGAATGATGCCAAGTGTAACCAAGTAGTAACTGAATGATGCCAAGTGTAACCAAGTAGTAACTGAATGATGCCAAGTGTAACCAAGTAGTAACTGAATGATGCCAAGTGTAACCAAGTAGTAACTGAATGATGCCAAGTGTAACCAAGTAGTAACTGAATGATACCAAGTGTAGCCAAGTAGTAACTGGATGATAGAACATGTAACCAAGTAGTAACTTAATAATACCAAGTATAACCAAGTAGTAACTGAATGATACCAAGTGTAACCAAGTAGTAACTGAATGATACCAAGTGTAACCAAGCAGTAACTGAATGATACCAAGTGTAACCAAGTAGTAACTGAATGATATCAAGTGTAACCAAGTAGTAACTGGATGATAGAACATGTAACCAAGTAGTAACTAAATGATACCAAGTATAACCAAGTAGTAACTGAATGATACCAAGTGTAACCAAGTAGTAACTGAATGATACCAAGTGTAACCAAGTAGTAACTGAATGATACCAAGTGTAACCAAGTAGTAACTGAATGATACCAAGTGTAACCAAGTAGTAACTGAATGATGGAACATGTAACCAAGTAGTAACTTAATAATACCAAGTATAACCAAGTAGTAACTATACCAAATGTAACCAAGTAGTAACTAAATGATACCAAGTGTAACCAAGTAGATACTCAAGTATACAGAGTTGTTATTTCGTTAGCATACAGACTTGAGTTGAGTTACTGAATATGGATCTATTTCTTTTTATTCACAGAAAAGGCATCCATTTTGTGTTGTTTGTTGCCATGACGTCCACAGCCAAATTGATGCTGCTCTTGTGGTTATCATAATTCAAGATCTCCCATCATGCAACAGTAGCAGTACCTTTTCTATCATTCTATAGATTTGGTATTTTTATCTGGCTTTTTTCTCCATTGTTTTTGCAGTTTTACAGTACGATAATAATCACATGATCCCTCAACATACCAATGTATTGCTTATTACTTGATTGGTGTTGAACTTGAAATACCTTGAAATTTTCAATACTTGGCATTTTCCAGATTTTTTTCACCCGGAGGCCATATTGTGTGATATGATAATTTCTAATAGTCACTTCCAGTTTATTTTAATTTACTTGGTAAAGGATAATGAAGTGCTAATGAAAGCTAATGATTTACCATGTTGTGCCTTTTCCTAATACTTGGGCATCTTTGTAAAAGCAAGTGCTTTAAAGTGTGTTAATGTTTAAGTACATTTTTTATACATATGTTTGTTTTGATTTTCTAGTCCAGTTTTTGAAGTTGATTATCCAGCCAGTATTTGTGTATAAAACTAGCTCCGTATTGTTGTAATTCTGCATTTTATATATATGCCGTGCAGTTATGTAAATTTTTGTTTCACTCAGCAAGATATAGGTTTTTATTGTCGCCAATGTAAGCATTGTATAATTATGTTTCCTGCCATTATTATGCTGCAAAATTTGTCAATGTAATTATTATATTTTTGTCGCTAATCATGACATTATTTTAATCCTGCCATTTTGTGAATTATGAATTTGGGTGGATTTTTGAACTAAAGTTAATCAGTCGGGTCATCACTGATTGTTTTGTTCATCACAGTTTGGGCTCCATTGTAAATATTTGGCACCATCTACAAAATTATTTTATATATTCTGCTCCTCTCCGCATAAAATGTTGTTCAAAATTCACAAACCTTTTGATCAAAAACTACTTAAAATATCTGAACTTGTCTGTATGGTTCAAAATGGTGATGAAATTTAGTGAAAATTTTACAAAATGTGAAAATATTTGCACAAAATTTTGGGCGGGAAAATGCTATGAGTCCCATATCGAACAGGACGCAGCACGACGACTGCCGCCCTTTAAAACGGTTCTTGATCAAAATTTTCGTGAAAAATGGAAAAAATTATTCAGGTTTGTTTTTTGAAAGGTGACAGAAGTCAATCGAACGATTAAAACCAAATGGACGATTACCTAATGCTTATTTCTTATCCGGGTTTCATAGATAATTAAAACATGACAAGCATAATTTTTTTGGTCATTGCAATTTTGTATGTACCGGTGCATGACATTGTGTGAGGCTAAGTTTTGACTATGCGGATTTTCATTCTATTATAAATCTATCGAAATTGATCGTTTACTTTTGTGTGTTTTTCGTGATTGCAAGTCTCGCTGATGCAGAGAGGGAAAGGGGTTACCGTATTTGCTTACATAGATAACAAAAGTGTGTTTATTGTGACAGAAAGTTATATTTTAATTATCCACTATGTATTAAATGCTCATATGTGCTTCTGTCTGAGATGCGCTTCCAATTCATCTTTCCACAACGATTAGTGTGCATCATTTGAACAACTTACTGACCAATAGCCTGACACAGCTCATCTAAAACTTCAACGAGTAACATGTTGTTACTGGCCGGTAGTAAATATTC